TATTATTATTATCATTAATATTATTTTTTCCCATCTGGCTTTTTCCCCTGGGAGGGCTTGCAGTGTGTCAAGGAAGCCGGCGCACTCCCAGGAGCTGGGATTATTTGCACAACGTCTGTATATTGAGTTCTCGATCCTGTTTTATTTTTATTTTTTAAGCGCAGAGGGGTTGTTGGTTTGGGTTTTTTTCTTTGTTTTCCCCTCCACGCCACGCTTTTCTTGGGTTTTATCCCCTCCGCCGCTGTCAGCACCACCTCCCGTCCCACCATGGCTCGGATGAACCGCCCCGCGCCGGTGGAGGTCTGCTACAAAAACATGAGGTTCCTGATCACCCACAACCCCACCAATGCCACGCTCAACACCTTCTTGGAGGTAAGGAGGGGAGGCTGGAAGGGGGAGACCGGCACCCAGTTGTGTGTTTTGGGGCTAAAAGCTGATGTTGAGGTGCAAAAGGGATCAGTCCTGTGTAAGATGATGTAGCGGCAGTGGCACATCCTCTTTGGTACCATGGTCCCCAGTGGTGTCACTGGGTAGTGGGTCCAATCACCATTGGCATTTTGGGGTAGGATGTTTTGGAGGACCCCCAGCGTGGTGTTTGGGCATGGGAAATGGAGCAATTTCCCCATTCCTGTTGCATCCCTCGCCAGCTCCACCAGCGCATCACGTCAAGGAGCTTTGCAGTGATTGTCATGGATGCACACAATATATCAGCACCTCAATAAGGACTTTTCATCCCAAATATCCCAGCATCTTTCCATTGCCTGGAAGGTGTTGGGTGGTGCACAAGGAGCTGGAGGGCTTGGTGTTGCATGAGCCAGTGACTGTGACCATCCTGGGAGCGCTGCCTCCAGCACTGGCAGCAGCTAGGAATTGGGTGGGAATTATTGGATGTCTGTCCACGGTCTGGGGTGAAAGGCTTTGACTTGCTCTTTTTGTCAATGCCTGGGGGAAACGCCAATGTCCTGCAGGTTCATTCGAGCTGGCACAAGCGGCTTCTGCTTATGAGGAGTCATTTTGGGGTGTTACCACTTTCACGGGGAGACCTGGGGCTGCACGTGAGCCTGGCAAAGGGTTTTTGCCTTCGACCTAAACCACCTTGAGGTCTGATGTGCAGGCACTGGAGGCATCCTCTGAGCTCAAAGAAACCCTCCCAATGTACACCCGAAAAAAACAAGTGTGAGTGCCACCGGCTCGGCGAGCTGCAGGAAGGTGGTTGGGGTTTGGGGACAGCCACCCCGTACCCTGCATGCTGCGCACAAGGCGATGGGGACAGCTCCAGTGGGAAGGGAGGAAATTCCCCTTTCTTAACCAGCTGCTTAGATTTTTGGCTGAGCTGCCACGTGTGCGGGGGTTTGCTGTGGTCTGGCAAGGGAAGGAAGGAGATGGATCATTCAAGGGGACGATCTCACGTGGGGGCCAGTACACCAGTGCGTAATCCGGGGACAATCCTTGCGGCGGGCGATAAGCCCCGCTGGAAACAGCCCAAGTGAGGCGCCCAAGCCTGCAGTGTGTTGGAAACGATGACAGGATACGGCAACGAGGTCAAGAAGGAGCCCCTGCGCAATCTGCGAGATGCTGAGCGCGGTCAGTGGGGTGTGCTACCACCCCCCAGCAGCCTCCATGCGTTCCTGCGGCGGGAGTTGCGACCTCACCAGGCACAAATAATTTATCCTTTGGGGGATTTGCGCCTGTGTCAGGGATGTTTCTTTGCATGGGGTGTAAAGTCCCTGCTGGTGTGGACGTTGGGGCTTAAAAATAAACGGCCCCGTTGGTGCTCGTGACTCCAAGGAGGGATGAAGGTGCTGTGTAAAAATCCCACCGTGGCCACGTGGCTTTGATCATAGAATTGTCTGGCTTGGAAGGGACCTTTAAGATCATCGAGTCCATCCATCAACCCAACACTGCCAAAACCACCACTAAACCATGTCCTTAAGCACCACGTCTGCACGTCTTTTAAATACCTCCAGGGATGGTAATTGATGCCCGGGGATTTCATGTTTCCCAGTGGTTCCCGGGCTGGATGGACCGTGGAGAGGTTGTCTCAAGGGTCCAGAGATGAGGCATGGCACTGTTTTAGGGTCTGTGTGGTTGTAGCAGGGCTCGGATGTGTTGGGATTAACCGGGGTGCGACTGGCAGGGTTTTTTCAGACCCCTCCTTCTCCTTCCTTCCCCAGGACCTGAAGAAGTACGGTGCCACCACGGTGGTGCGAGTGTGCGAAGTGACCTATGACAAGACACCCCTGGAGAAGGACGGCATCACCGTCATGGTAGGTGGGCGGCAGGATGGGTGCCGGGGGAGGCTGCCCACCCCTCCCTTGTGCTTAAATACCCCCATCCCTCGCATCCGCTAAACACCCTGCATTTCGCGTGGACCAAAGCGTCACCGCAACGTGCCCGAGAGCGGAGCTTGAAGCCCAACTTCATCCTCGGGGCCAGGCAGGCGAGCTCCCCACTCCAGGGCTGAGATGGGGCTGGTGCTTTAAAAAAAGAAAGCACTGCCCACACACCCGAAACTGTGACTCATACGGATGAGCCGGCAGCTGCACTCGGGCTTTAAAGCATCCAGGGGATGAGAGCGCCTGATCCCACGTGGAAGATGCGCGTGGTTCCCGTTACCCCCGGAGTTATCTTATCCGGGGAGGCGGGGGAAGAGACGGTGAGATTTTTGCTCTTCCAGCAGCTCTGGGGGATGAAAGGGAGCAGGCAGCAAGCAGGAGAAGTCAAGGAGGCAGAGCAGGCGGCTGCCTGGGCTGCGTCTTGGCTGATAAGTAATTGGAGCTGATGTCAGGCGTGATTGCCCTGGCAGGGAGCTCGGCTCCAGCTGGAACGTGAGGGAAGTTCAGCTCCTTGTTTAGGAAAGGGTTTGGAAAGTGCCTGGTGTCTCCTGGGGTGGTCCTCTGTGTGTAGATCCTCTCTGTGTAGCTCTCTCTGTGTAACGTATATCCCATAGAGAGAGATATCTGTATCCTAGATCCTCTGCGATATAAGTAGATATAGATTTAGATGTAGATGTAGATATAGATACAGATATAGATATAGATATTGATCCTATGTCTCTCTCTACATACAGATCCTCCAGATGGAGATCTCTCTCAGTATAGATGCTATGTCTCTATAGGATATATCTTGAGGCCCCATCCCTGGAGGTGTTCAAGGCCAGGCTGGACGTGGCCTTGGGCAACTTGGTCTAGTTGGAGGCGTCCCTGCCCATGGCAGGGGGGTTGGAACTCAATGATCCTTAAGGTCCTTTCCAACCTAAAGCATTCTATGATTCTATGATCTTATAGAGGAAGGTAGCTGTATCCTACATACGGAATCTGTATGTAGGGTATCATATCTACTCGCTTACACACCAAAGTCTGCCTTTCACCCTGTTTCTGGCTGGAGTCCTCCAGTCTGAGTTTCTGTATCTAGGGTATCCATACCTCTCTGTATGTCATATAGAGAGATATCTGTATGTAGGATACATTTGATACAGAGAGATATCAATGTCCTAGTTATAGAAATTATAGGATACTGTACAGAAACTATGTAGCTTCAATATAAAAGTTTCTGTAACTATACAGAAACTATATAAGATATATTTTATCTAGAGAGATGTCTATATCCTATGTATCTATGGATAGATGTAGCTGTGCAGATACAGAGATATCTCTATATATACCCAGAGATACCTCTGTATATACCCATATCAAATATATATGTATATATAGACTACATCTATATATCCTATCCCTTTCTTTGGGGAATAGGCACAAGCTGGCTGAGGCCCAACTGGCGCAGTGTGCCGGGGTGCCAGTATCCCCAGCCACTGTGCCCACACATACGGTGGTCCCATCCTGGAGGTGCTCCCTGGGTGTTTTGGGCACCTCCTCTGCTTTCATCTCCCGTGTGTGCCACGGGGGATCCTGAGCAATCTCTAAAGCTGATGGCAGTGAACGAGTTGTGCCGGATGCGGGTGTCCCGTGCCGTGGATATCTGCTTGGCAGCTCTTCCAGCAGGTCAGAGGTGGGGCAGAAATCCTGCTGGAGAGCCAGCGCTGTAGGAAGGTTTGTGGTGCAGGATGGATATATGGTATTGGATGCACCAATAGCGTTTAACATCTTTGTCAGTGATGTAGATGGTGGGATTGAGTGCGCCCTCAGCAGGTTTACAGACGCGACACCAAGCTGAGTTGTGCAGTTGATACCCTAGAGGGACGGGATGCCGTCCAGAGGGACCTGGACAGGCTGGAGAGGTGGGCCCATGCAAACCTCATGAGGTTCAACAAGGCCAAGTGCAGGGTCCTGCATTTGGGTCAGGGCAACCCCCAGTATCAACGTGGGCTGGGGGATGAAGGGATTGAGAGCACCCCTGCCAAGAAGGGCATGGGGGTACTCGTGGGTGAAAAATGGGACATGAGCCCCAGAAAGGGCTCGCAGCCCAGAAAGCCAGTTATATCCTGGGCTGCATCCCCAGCAGCATGGCCAGCAGGGCGAGGGAGGGGATTCTGTCCTTCTGCTCCGCTCTGGTGAGACCCCACCTGGAGTACTGCGTCCAGCTCTGGAGCCCTCAACACAAAAAGGACATGGACCTTTTGGAGCGGGTTCAGAGGAGGCCACAAAGATGATCAAAGGGGTGGAACACCTCTGCTGTGAGGACAGGCTGAAAGAGTTGGGGTTGTTCACCCTGGAGAAGAGAAGGCTCCGGGGAGACCTTATAGCGGCCTTTCAATATAGACAGGGAGCTTCTGAGAAAGATAAAGACTTTTACGAGGCCCTGTAGCGACAGGACAAGGGGCAACGGTTTCAAACTGAAAGACGGTAGATTTAGATTGGACATAAGGAAGAAATTTATAAGGATGGCAAGCCACTGGCACGGGTTGCCCAGAGAAGTTGTGGATGCCCCATCATTGGAGGTGTTCCAGGTCAGGTTGGGTGGGACTGGTGTAGTGCAAGATGTCCCTGCCCATGGCAGGGCATTTGGACTAGATGATATTGAAGGTTCCTTCCACCTCAAACCATTCAATGATTTTGTGGTATGCTGTGTCATCCCCGGTGCGAGCCCAGTGACCTGCAGTCATGGCTGAGGTGGTGCTTTCCGGGCACCATGGGGAGGAGATAGATGGTCTTGCAGGACAGGCAACAAGTTGTGCAGGGTGGGCTGGCTCAAGCGTTAGGATACCCTGAAGCCCAGCATGCTCCTTTCCTAGCAAAGCCCAACTGAAGTCACATTACCTGTTCAAACCCTGAAGTGAAGTGAGGCTTAGCAGCTTCTTTTGCCATCTTACACCAAGGATGACTGCAGCACAGCAGCTTAGTGACTCACTGCTCTAAGACGAGGATTACAGCCCACCCGCCAGGGCTCACCATAGAATCATAGAATTGTTTTGTTTGGAAGAGACCTTTAAGATCATCAAGTCCAACTGTTAAGCTAACACTGCCAAGTTACCACTAAACCATGGCCCTCCGTGCTACATCTACATGGTCTACACCGTCTGCATCCCCTCCAAGTGATGCTGCTCTGCCCGTCCTGCTCTCCCACTGCTGCGTAGCCAGTGGCCACGCTCCTCCTGCCAAATCCATTTTGGGAGAGACAGGCAGCCTCAACTGGCTGCCAGTGCCCATGGGGAGAGACCAGCCCTTCCCCAAAATGTTGCAGCAGTCACAAGCAAGGGTAGGGGGAAACACGTTTTCCTCAACAGCAGAGCTTGGGACCAGGAGGTGCTTAATGCAGCACTTGTTTTATCTACTTTGTCACCAAGCTTCGATATTGAGTCCCTGCAGCTTGAGGGTGAAGCTCAGAAGAAGATGGGGTTTGGGTTTTTTTGTCCCATAAGAGCCTCAGGATTCAGTTTAAGTGGTCCTTCCCTTCAGCTTAGGGGATTCCCAGAGCATCCTTTTGGGATTCCATGTGTTGCAGCAAGCTGAATTTTGGTACCGCGTCGGGCCCTCAGGTTTCAGCCATCTCCAAGCCACCTTTGGTTAAACCTCCTACAAAGTGGCTTTGTGCTCCCAAGCGCTGGGTTTAGACAGGAGCTTCTGGAGGAAAGGATGAGAGCTGCCACTCCCCAAAGCTCGGTATGGTCATCCGAATGGGGAGGAGGCAGGCGACGGCCATCCTGTTGCAGGCAGGAGAACATGGGGACCATGTTGCAGGTCCCTGTAAGTGCTCCTGAAGGCTGAACCTGTCCATAGGAAATGGGAGGACCCCAGACCTAGACTCGAATGGCTGCAAACCCTGAGCCGAAGTGGCTGGGGGATTCTTGCATGCCGGACAGTGCCACAAAACCTGCTTCATCCCCGCGGAGATGCTCTGCGAGCCCAGTTCCTGGCACACACATCCACCTTCCCGCTGCCGAGGTCCCAAACACCATCGCCACGAGTAAAAAGCAATCTCCCGAGTTTTTCCCCAGGGTCTGACAGTGTTTCTCTCTTCCCCTGCCCTTGCCCACCCACCTTGCAGGATTGGCCATTTGATGATGGAGCGCCTCCTCCCAGCAAGATAGTGGAAGATTGGCTCAACCTGTTGAAGACCAAGTTCTGCGAAGACCCCGGCTGCTGCGTGGCCGTGCACTGCGTGGCCGGCCTGGGGCGGTGAGTCAGAGCCCGGCACACCGGCTGCTCCACACCTGCGCTCCTCCTTCCCCGCTCCCCCTTTTAGTTGGGTTTTGGCGTGCAGCGGAGACCTTAGCGGGAATAGGTGTTGATGTGGGGGGAGCTGCTGCCTGAGCTCCTCTTTGCATTTCCCATGGGCAAATCCTGGACACTGCGGGGGGAACTTGGGGTGATGGGTGCTGTCCTGCTGCAACTGGGAGCCGATGCTTTTTGACAGCGGCTGCATTTTACTGCTCCCCCTGCCGCAGGTCAGGTTTTGCATGTGTATTTACGTCCAGTTTTCCAATAGATTTGCCTCCAAAGTCCTCGTGCTCATTAGAAGAGCAGCAAAAGGGCTGCCAGCCCCATCCTGGGGGTTTTACCCCCAAAATCAGCCGCTCCCTAGGTCAGCGCTTGCAGCAAAATGGCAAGAAATTACACGCTAAAAGCCAGAACTGGCGACTGCCTGCAGTGACACCAAAACAGCCCCGTGGTGTGTGTCCCTGCGGCCCCAGGATGGGATGTTCAGCCTCTGGGCTGCGTGGCTGAGGAGTGACCACCACTGCCATTGCCTTTCAGCGCTCCCGTCCTCGTCGCACTGGCCTTGATCGAGAGCGGGATGAAGTACGAAGACGCCATCCAGTTCATCCGACAGTAAGTCGAGCGGCGTTTCGGCATCAGGGGAGAAAACAGCCCTTCAAAACCATGGGTCTTTGAGCAACCTGGTCTGGTGGGAGGTGTCCCTGCCCATGGCAGGGGGGTTGGAACTAGATGGTCTTTAAGGTCCTTTCCAACCTAAACCATTCTATGATTCTCCAAGGGGATGGAGACATCTGGCATGTCCCAGGGTTTTTTTCAGGGCACCGGGGTTGCTTTTGTCTCCTTTTGGGGAGTTGGGGAAGAAAAGGTGGGGCTTTTGGCAGGCGCCCCACTTTGGGCAGCTGCCCCACGTGTTTCTTCCCTGGCTCTCCATGTCCAAAGACTCACAAGGAGGTTGCGTGAGAAAAGCTGCTGGGGTCAGTGTCCATCTCCATCCCCGGAGGACGCACAAGCCTGCAGCCTCCTAAATCCCTTCCTGCTCCAGGCAGGGGGGTTCAGCACCCCGAGAGGAGTGGGTTTGGGGTGGGGGGTCTTCTACTACACCACTGACTGTGCCAACCCTTCTCTGTCCCCGCAGGAAGCGCAGAGGAGCCATCAATAGCAAGCAGCTGACGTACTTGGAAAAATACCGACCAAAGCAAAGACTCCGATTTAAGGACCCTCATAACCACAAGAACAAATGCTGCATCATGTAACCTCAATGACCTCTTGCCAAAATCTGTGCACACAGACACCCGGGCACTCGCACGCATCCCACCCCCTCACCCCCCTGCCCAGCCCTGTGCACCCCACACGCCGCCCCACTGCCAGAGCTGGGGTGGGGGGGACACAGAGCACCGCCAACATGGTCCAGCACCCACAGCACCGTCATCTTGCCGGACCCCTAAAAAAGGCTGCTCTCTCCAGCTACGGCCCCGAGGAGGGATGGCAGCACTGCCCTTTGGCCCTTGGCGTTAGCAGGCAATGAGCTCACATGATGGTTCTTCATCGCCTTCCTCCTCCTCGTCCCTTTCCCCTCCCGTTGCACTGAGAGGGATGGGTGGAGGGTGCTTGGTTTGGGGTGATGCAGGCAGGGCTGTGCCAGCTGAGAAGGGATGGGGAGCAGGAGGGCGGGAGCACCCCCAGAAAAACCCTTTCCCACCTCTTCCCTATAAATAAGGGCTGCAGCAACGGGGACGGAGGTGGGGACGGTACAGTGGCCTCGAGGCAGGGGAAGATGGTGATGGCAGGGAGAGGTGAAGGGGGCTTGTAGCTCGGTGCTGGCCCTGCGACCACAGGAAGGGCTGAGCTAATTCTCCCCAGCACCATTCCCTTTCTCCTTGCTCCTCTCCTACTTCACAATCTCCCCGTGGCCTTGATGCCGGCTGGGATGCTGCAGATAGGGCTCCTTGGGGGCTCACTGCAGCGAAGGTGGGGACTGTGGTGGGGCTTTGCAAGGGGTGCAGGGGCAGCACTGGGTCCCCCAAAGTGGGTACTCTTACTTACAGCTTCCAAATTCAATGCACAGGGTGATGGGTTCTCTCCCATCATATCCCATTCACCGAGCTGTGGTGCACACCCCAATTCTGGCTGTGATGCCCTGGGGATGCAGCACGCATCTCGGGGCACATCCAGGTCCTCCACTGCTGCGTTTGCTGGCCAAGGGGCTGGGCTGCAGCTTTCCGAGGGGATTTTGGGTGCTCCTGGCAAAAGCACGTCACCAAATTTTGCACCTGCCTTTCCCACATCTGTAACGTGGCACCTGGCACCCCAAAATCCCCAGCGTGTGCCCTGGTGGGGTGGACTCGGAGCTGCCCCTGAGCTGGGACATTAAACATCTCTCAACTTTCTGCCTTTGAATGCTTGCAGCAGCTGGAGCGGTTGTCGTTTAGGGGATATGGGGGTGTTTTTTCTTTTGACGAGGATAAGAAGAAATTTGCTAATTAAAAGAAAAAAAAAACTTAAAAAAAAAAAAACTCTTTGTCTTCCGCATGTCCTCTGGCCTTTCTTTCTCCCATCACTGCCCAGTGGAGCCCGGGAGGTGACCCATGGTCCCCCCCAGACCGATCCCTGGTACCGGGTCACAGCTGGCTGCCATCCACTGTCACCAAGGGAACATATGTGGTCCAAGGGATGCTCCGGGTATCCTTTGGGCTTGCTGCTGCTCACCCCCTCAGCTGCAGAGGATCACAGTGGTTGGGGCAAGGAGGGCTGGTCATCCAGCGTCTTGTGGTTGTAGGCTACCCAACTTGAGATGCCTTCAGTGCCCTGTGTTGGGTATCTCCAAAGGTTTGTGTGCCTTCCAAAACATAGACTGTCCAGAGACATTTGCTTCAGAGGGCTGATCTCTTGGGATAAGCAGTGATGAAGGCTGATAAGACACTTTTGGTGCCTGCAGAAGGATAGAGGACAGCTTTGTGCCACCACACAGGCAGAGGAGGAGCTTGGAGCTGTTTCCAGCACACTCCTCCCAGTGGGAGCCCACCTCACTGCATGGCAGGCATGGCCATCCCGTGGGATGGGCTGTGGTGCCAAGTGAGGTGGGGACCTTCCACGCATGGCCCCGGAGTTGTCATGCCGCACACCTCAGGCCTGTCCAAGCCTCCACATTGTGGGACAGCCCTCGGTGCCTTGAGTTTCTCCTGCCCCATTCCAGGCTGTTGATTCCTGTGTCTCGTGGGGAAGGTGGCCATGGTAGAAGGGTCTGCATTGGTTGGGAAGGGTGAAAAATTGGGCTGATAAAAAGACCTGATCCTGTATTACAGCAGTCCCACTGGGTGGGTCACCATCCCCTTCCTGCCCGTGCATGTCCTCTTGCTGCTAAAATAGGTGCTGCTTCATCCCCAGGGGCAGTAGGAGATGGCTCAGCATTGCGACCATGACAGCCTCAATCCCTCTTAACCAGGAGACCTCCTGGTCCCATGTGGTCCCCAGTCACAACAGGCTGTTGGGAAGAATTTAGGATAAAGCAGTGGAAACCATTCCAGGCTTCGAGATGTTTGTGGCCTGGCAAGAGGAGGAGAAATGGTTTCCTCAGCCATGCTCATGGGAGCATCGCATGGCAGAGTGCCCAGGGCAAGTGGTCCAGGGCGTCAGCCATGATGCTTTTGAGTTGGGGTCGAGATGGGGACAGAGGGGCTTGAATTCATCTTCCTTTGGCCGTGGGAACTCTTCACCTCATCCATGCAGGGTTTGATGGTGGAAGTGCTCAGTGCTGACCTCTGAGTATGCTCAAATATCAGCTTGGTGGGCTTGTTTGAGGGGAACACAGGGGCGGACAGGCTTTGCAGTGCTCCTTCGCTTTATGTAGCATCAACCTGACCACCTTACAAATAGAGAGCTTCTAGTGGAAGAGAAGTCCTTGACCCGGTACAACCCATGTGCCCAAATCCTGAGCTCCTCTGGCTGGCAGAGCAGTATCTTGATACTCTTCAGTTTTGTGAGTCACTGCAAAACCACCCCAAAACTATGCTGCTTTAATTGTCCTAATGTTTTTTCTTTTTTTAATGGATTTAACCCCCCTGTCCTGGAGCTTGCTGTCACCTCCCACATGCTGCCCCATGGACAGGACACGTCAGCAGCCCAGGAGCTGCTGTCCTTGCATGGAGGGCTTGAATGCACTCCAAGGTTTCTCTGGGTTGGACTGCCAAACATTTGGGATTTTTTTGATATGGACTTGGGCTCCTACCTGTGAGGTACCAACTGCTGGATGTTTCAGCCTAGAGAGGGTTACAGAAACATAACAGGCGGGAGTAGTTGAGGGGTCTTCCAACCAGGTTTTAGGTTAGAAATCACAAAGAAGAGCCCAGTTCCCTCACAAAGATGTTGGGACAGTTGGAGAAGATGGAAAATTGGAACTTAGTCGACACATAGCACGAGGGCGAGGCCTAAGCAGCCAAGGGCTCATTGTTAGGGCTGGTTTTGGGGTCTCTCCACGTATGCTAATTCTCGTTTCACCTCAGATGCCAAGATGTTGAAAGGAGAGCCTTAAAAATCTGATGTATTTGCTGATTCTGTTGTTGTTGCAGTTGTCTCCCTTGGGTCTTGGTAGATGTCATACGGAACAGACCCCCCCGTGGCTTTGCCTACAAAGCAACCATCTTATCCTGCTCTTATCTGCAGCAGCAAAGGCACAAACTGGGTTTTATACCTCCTGACCCCATTCACCACCCTTACCCCTCTGTGGAAACGTCTCATCTTTCAATAGTTTGCAGGGACAAGGCTCCAAACTAGGAGCAAGAGCTTTGGAGACCCAAGGGATGGCAAAGCAGGGATGGCAAAGTAGAGATGCCCTAACCATCAAATCAAGAGCTTGTAGGCTTTGCTCAGGTATCTCATGGCTGAACCTCGTGTCAGGGAATAAATCTGAGCATGAATTTGTAGTTGTGTCCTCTCACTGGTGGCACACGTGTGCCCTATTCTGCGTTGCAGTTCAGAGGCTGGTGGGTCCCTTCTGTTCTCCATGTTTGCCCATCAGATGGAGCACATGGTGGGGGCGGCGGTGGGAAGGAAGGCAACGCAGCTATCCCAAATGGCCAGGTCTTTATTTCAGAAAGGTCTGATGACACGTATTTAAAGACTTCACATTTGTAAATTCATATTACGAGTCTTGCAATAAGGCTGACACGGTGGTGCTTGGGCTGAGAGCTTCAGATTAGGAGGTTTATGAGTAACAGATTTCCCGAGGAAGCAGAGTCTTGCTCTATCTACAATAGAACGAGTCGTTTTCTTTTTTTGTTGTTGTTGTTGTGGGGTTTTTTTTCATTGTTTTTTTTTGTTTTTTATTAGTCCCAGTGGGAAAGCGCACAGGGAGATTCGTGACTTCCATGCAGTTTCCAGGGTCTTATATCTCATTTGCTTCCAGCGGGCTGGGTAGGTGCAGTTCAGCGGGTGGATTTGGATGGGATGCTGTCTGGTGGGAGAAGAATGTGGCTGGTTTCTCTGCGCAGCGGGGGGTCCCGGGCCGGCTGCGGTCCCTCTCGCAGGCTCTAACAGACATTCCCGGGGAGGGGGTGGTTTTGCCGCGCTCGGCTTCCCTTTAGACCACGATCTCCCAATGAACTCTCAACTTCCCTGCTGTTTCTTTCTGTGCAACAAAGAACTGCATATTTTCCTTTTTAACTCCATGGGCAATCGTAGTAGTATGTAGATTAAGCCCAGATGACTTTTTTTTTGTTTTGTTTTGGTTGGGTTTTTTTTTTGGTCTGAGCCATAGCTAAATTATTATACCCAATGCTTTTTGTATCAGATGGCATCACTTTGAATATGCAGATGAGGTATAGGATCTTGACACTTTATAACCTTTTTAAAAAGAAACTTGTCTGTTTACTTACGTCTTGTGTAAAAAGGAAAAAAAAAATGTATGCCTTTTAATAATCACTTTTTTTTTTTTGAGTTTTATGAAATTACAGTGGTTTCACTCCAGCAGCGAAATAAAAAGCGTTCACTGTTTTGTACCTCCCTGTGTGCTGCTGTGCTGCTAAAGGGGGGGTTATCAAGACGGGGGAGACAAAGGCAGAGCCAAACTCTGGCCAAGGGACAGTGAAAGGGTGCATGGGGGGCGTGTCGGGGTCCTGCTGCCTCCCCTTGGCTGGACACCTCAGCCCACTCCTGTCCCATCCCAAATGTGTCCCAGCTACATTCTCCACCCGTTCCCTGGGTTATTTTCCACTTCTCATCCCATTCCCCTTTCCTGGAAGCTCCCAGAACAGACAATGGAGGTGGCTGGGAAAGGGTTGGACCTACTGCAATGAGGTGGTGGGCTGCAGCCAAGTT